TCTCTTATGAAGTGATTAATGATTACAAAGGGTTTGGGAGAATAAGGTCCTCTCCCGAAACTCAGCCAAATTTACTTTTTTAAATTGAGTTTTTCTTGAGGTCAGGAGCTGTGTCTTTGTATCCCCAGCATAGATGCCAGCACAGCACCTGCGCAAAGCTGACAGTAGAAAAGTATATCTTTTTCAATGGATTAATTTGGGGAAAACACTGAGGGACATGCCCATTTCTTCATCTCCAATATAAATGAGCTGCTTGGCTTACCATCTCATTTCAGAATAAAATTATTTTAATTGTGATATGCACATTTTTCTACTACTACCTTATCATGGTTGTTTAAAAAGTACAATTAGGAGTCAACATTACCACTGCCAAAGTCCTATGTGAGCTTGTATCCCATGAATACCATGTAATAATTAGAAAGAAATCACCACTGTATTTAGCCAGGGCCAGATAACTTACCTGAGGTGCACAGGAGCAATAATGACCCCCTGAGTTCATTCAGAAATGGAGGAAATGAAATACTATTTAAACAGAAACCTTAAAGGAGAATTAAACACTGATGGGGTGCTCTGTGTGTGTGTGTGTGTGTGTGTGTATGTGTGTGTGAGAGAGAGAGAGAGAGAGAGAGAGACAGACAGACAGACAGAGAGACAGAGAGACAGAGACAGGGACAGAGAGACAGAGACAGAGAGAGAGGCAGAGAAAGAGAGAGGGAGAGAGAGACAGAAAGAGAAGGATGGATGAAGAGAAGGATGGAGAAGCCTGGGAATGGAGGGCTGACCACACAGCCTCCAAGTCAGCATGATGATAGCATCCTCTGAAGTGGTATTTCTTGCTGCCTTTGGGCACAGGATAATCCAACCCTGACTACTTGCTTGACTTTTTCAAGGAAACCTGTGAGCCAGCCTTCCATTTAGATGCCAATCCTTTATATCTTTTGGCTTCATTTATAGCAAGAATGTCAATTGACCAGTAGTTTTTCTATTGGCTCTGAAGTCACTGGGAAAGAATCTCACATTTAGAATATCAAGAGCTAAGTTAAAGTTTATGGATGGTTTGAAAACTGTATGATTCTGTAGCACTCTTTCTCACAACTCTGCCACCTTTACCACAGAAGCAGAAAAGGGGTGCCACTTGGAATTGGAGACATTTGGGATTGTTCTTTGTTTCCTAGGTTGTCATGGCCCAAGCAGTCATCGTTCTGCTGATAAGCCTCCTCATACATAGGGAGACTAGTCCTCAGACAGCTAGTGCAATTAGTCACCAAGACTATTGGAAGACTTGCCAGTACTGCCAAGTCTGCCAAAGGTTGTATTTCATTGGCATGATTGGCATGAACCCAGTTTCACCTTCAGGTCATGATGAGCCTGCAGAATAAGGACTGTGATAGGGAGTTCTTCAAATGCAGTATTAAAAAAGCCCTTTCTGACGTTTTTACTTAGAGGCCCAGAATTTGAACTGATGCCACTGCTTTTATTTGTATTTGAATGTGAAAACCCCAACCTTTGAGAGAAAATGTATGAACCTCTGAAGAAATATTAGTCTTATTATTATTTTTTCGTTGAATGTCAGTTCTGATTGGTACTAGCTTCCAATGGCCTTGATGAATCACTATTTGTCACCAGACTGGATTCCAAATCATTTTTCTAGAAATTTTTCTAGAAATCCCAGCCACCCTTAGTGGACAAAAGATACACCACCATTGAGGATAAGGTGTGTAGCTCAGGCTCTGACCAGATATTCAAAAATATTTTGAGCAGCTGCAGGATTTTTAGAATGGGTATATAGCTCATTGACCTGCCTTCTTACCCTGGAATTTTCCTCAGTGCCTAGGGCCTTCTTACCTTGGAACATCTTTCCACCATGTCAAACCCCTACTCCCACTGGAGTTTCTTCTGGAGCCTCCCTTTTGGGTACTGGCTTCATTCCCCTCCCAGATATGCTTCTGACTCTCTGGACTCTGCCACCATTGACCTAACCTAGGTATCTTTCCCTTTCACTCTCTCCTTCAGCTCTTTTATGTGCCGTCTTCTCCCATTTAAATATAAGCTTCTTGAGGGCAGGGAACCTCTTTTTTATTGTATTTGTATCCCCATCTCTTAGCTCAGTGCCTAGCACATAGTAAGTGCTTCTCTAGCCTGTCTAGGCAACTCACTTTGAAGGACAAAATTCATTGGGATACATGAGTTTTGCATTTGTTTAAAAAAAATTTCCCCATTACTTTATGATTAAGATAACAAGACAGTGCAGAACATTGGAAAATATACTGAATACAGAATCAAGGGACCTGGATTCAAATCCTGACTCCACCACTAATTATCAGTGTGACCCAAGGCATGTCACTCAACCTCTTTGGGCCTTAGTTTCTTCATCTGTGAAAAAGAGAGTTGGACTAGCTATCATCGAAGGTGTGGTCCAGTTCCAAACCTGCAAACTTACATATTGAGCAAAATATACTCAATAAATCTGACTCCCAGAATTAGAGTCTAATAGTCAAAGGGAAACTTAGTGGTCATGTAGTCAAACTTATCCCGTGTTAGAATCCCCTCCATAACATCTCAGATAGAGAGGTTGTAACGTTGCTTTGGAATGCTTCCAGTGATAGAATTCAGGGATGGGAACTCACCCCATTGTTGGTTAGCCCTAGGAGTTGAAAGGTTCCTTATGGGGCCCTGCCCCTTTTTCCTACTGTTTGCACCTAGTTCTGTCCTCTAGAGGCAGGAGGGAAAAGACTGCTCTCTCTTCCACATGTTCAGTCATTTTAAGTCATGTCTGACTTTCTATGTCCCATCTGGTGTCTCTTGGCAAAGATACTGGAGTGGTTTGCCGTTTCTTTCTCCAGCTATTTTACAGATGAGGAAACTGAGGCAAACAGGGTTAAGTGACTTGCCCAGAGTCACATAGCTAGGAAGTGTCTGAGGCCAGATTTGAACTCAGGATGATGAGTCTTCCAGACTCCAGGCCCAGCACTCTATCCACTGCCCCACCTAGCTGCCTAGTTGTTGTTTTTGTTGTTGAGTCATGTCTGACTCTTTGTGATGCCATTTGGGGTTTTCTTGGCAGATATACTGGAGTGGTCTGTCATTTCCTTTTCCATCATATTTTACAGATGATAAACTGAGATAAGCAAGGTTAAGTGACTTGCCCAGGATCAAGAGTTTTACATAGCTAGTAAGTGTCTGAGGTCAAATTTGAACTCATGTCCTACTGACTCCAGGCCCATACTCTATGCACTGTGCTACCTAGCTGCTCCAAGACAGCCCTTCAAATACTTGAAGGTAGCCATTGTGTCCTCCTGTAAGTAGAAGCATGCTGTAATGCAAATCATACAGACTTCGATGTTGAAGGACCTGAATTCAAATCCTAATTCTGTTGCCCACTGTGTCCTTAGGCAAGGTATGAACTCTGGGGGCCTTAATTTCTTTATTTGCTAAATGAAGGGGTTAACTTTATAACTTCTGTGATCTGAGTTCTAAGTCCTCTTCTTTCTAGTTTTACGACCTCAGTTTCTTCAACTTTTCCATATATGACCTAATTTCAAGTCCCCTCCCCTTCTTGATCTCCCTCTTCCAAGTATGTTCACAGAGTCAAACCTAATACTTCAGGTTGGACTGATGTATAGTGGGACTGTTTTATTCTCTTGTTGTTTGGCACATTTCGTTGTCAGTCATTTTTCAATCACATCTGACTCTTCATGACCCCATTTAGGGTTTTCTTGGAAGAGATCCTGAAGTAGTTTGCCATTTCATTCTCTAGCTCATTTTACAGATGAAGAAATTGAGGCAAATGGGGTTAAATGACTTGCCCAGGGTCACACAGCTAGTGTCTGAGGCCAGATTTGAACTCAGGAAGAGGAATCTTCCTGACTCCAGGCCCGCACTCTATCGACTGGACTACTCAGCTGCCTATTTCAGGTACATAGTAATTAAGTAATAATAATACTTCATGCTTGAGTAATTAATACTTAAGTAATACTTAATTGGTTATTCTGAACACTATGCTTCTAATAATGCAGCCTAAAGTTACATTAGTTTTTTTGTTTGCTTTATTAGTAATTTTCCAGCATGCCTCTCTCCCAACTTAACCCTCCTTTGTATCAAAGAGAAACAATTATTTTTTAAAAATAATTAATCAACATTTATTAATCACTTACTATGTGCCAGCATATGCAACATATTGCACCCAGAGTCCACTAACTTTCTAGGAGAAAGAAGATGTATTTATTATCAATTGCCCAGGAACAAAATTGGATATTTAAATCAATCAGAGTTTAATTGACTTTCCATGCTGTTTGCATGTACACATTGTTGTCTTTAACAGCTAATAATACCTAGTATTATGTAGCTCTTTTTAAGGTTTGCATAGGCACTTTTACATGTTATATGGTGATCACAACAATCCTATTAAGCAGGCGTGATCATAATCCTCATTTTACCACAAAGAAGCTGAAAGCTGAAGGATGAGGTGGTCTGCCCAGGACCGCACAGCTAGCAGGTGTGGGAGGCAGGATTATGAGCTCAGGTCTTCCTCACTCCCACCCATCCTGGTCTAGCCCTCTATCCATTGGCCAACTAGCTGCCCCAGTAGATAGTATTCACTCTGTAAGTTCTTCATGGTGGACTCTAGTTCCTTTCCTGTGCATCAGGTTAATAGAAAGAGTTCATTCAATTACCCTGGCTTCCCTGGTCAGACGTAGACCTAGCATTTATTTAACTGCTTATGATCGACTTTTTTCTGCAAGGACTAGTCACTAGTGTCTGCTCTGCCTTGTCCTGTGAGGAAGACTACTGTAGAAGCAAATAGGAAAGCCCTAAACTCCCAGCTCCTCGCATGTGGAAGTTCAGAGAAGGGAGGGAGAGGCCGAGTGCCCTGCTGACACTGTCCAGGCCTTGCCCTTGGGCCAGGAAGAGGCGGATGTTGCAGGACAGGGGGATGTCGGTTCCTGCTGGCACCAGTACGCGCCAACTGCCCTTTGAAACCCAGGGCGCAGTCTGCGCTGCTCTGGGCAGTTAGGCAGATGACCTGAGCCTTGCAGAGAACAGCAGGACGGCGCACGAGAGAGCTGGCTCTGCGCTTCTGGGACTGCCAGCTGTGAGGAAGCCCTCGGGATCTGAGCATGGAACCCCCAGGCCCCCGGGGGCGGCCGCTGGGCGGCGGCGCCGAGGTCCAGATGTGCCAAGCTATCTTCCCTTCCCACGCCAACCACCGTGGGGAGCTGAGCGCCGGCCAGCTGCTCAAGTGGATTGACACCACCGCCTGCCTGGCAGGTAAGAGGGAGGCTCAGCCAGCCAGGAGGGAGAGTGGGCGCTGCGGCTGCCGCCGAGATCGGTGGAAGTGAAGCGGCTGAGCTGCCGCAGGCACGGAGATCCCTGTTGGAGCACGCTCAGAGTCTGGCATTTACCTGGCTGTCTCTGGAGGGCAGTACGGAAAGTAAACTGCCTTTACACACCTTCTCCCATAGCCCTCACTATCTGCCTTAAATTCCCCTCCCAGTGACCTTTGTCGTGGCCATTCAACCTCCCAAAGACCGAAAGAAAAGAAGGCAAAACAAGCCTGTCTCCCCTTCCTCCCCAGCCCTGGCTGGGACCTCTCGGTGTCCAGCCCTGGCCTGAATTTGGTTTCGGTAACTGATGAGCTGCGCCCTGCAACTTGTAACAGTCATAAAAATACAAATGGGCAGGATGCACAACAGTTATTTATACAAAATGTTCAGAAAATGCAAACATTCGGGGAAATTTCACATCAAACATTGAAACTGCTTCAATTTGGAGGCAACTAATTACTCTAGACTGATAACACAGACAAAACTAAGAATAAAGGGGTACTCTTAAATAATAGTTTATAAGTATTTATTCCAGAAAATTATATTGGAAGCAATTAGGTATTTATTTTGTGATAAATAAAAGCCTATGTTTTATGTGTTTGTGTGTGTGTATGTGTGTGTGTGTGTGTGTATGTATGTAATAGGTTCAAGGCCTAAATGGGTAGTAGTGCTGGGTTGTCTGACACAGAGTTGCTTGCTAACACCTTAGGTACAGCACACAAATGCTTTGTCCAGGCAATGTGCTGACTTTATTGTTAATTGAGTAAATCACTTCTCCTCTCTGGGCTTTAGTTTTCTCATCTGTACAATGAGGAGGTTGTCCTGAATTTCCCCTAAAGTCCCTTCCAATTCATTGTATGATTTTTAGTGACTTTCAGGCCATAGAGTCCCCAGGGAAACTTGCAAAGTAGAAAATTAGGCTTTCCCATATGCCTTGGCTTCTTTTTTAAATACTTAGTCCACTTCCTGTACCCCAAACCCCTCACCTCCAGCCCCAAGGGCAAATGCATGACTGCATATATCTCAGGACAATACTTGAAACTTGAAAACTAATCCAGACCCTTCATTTTACAAATGAAGAGACTGAAGGCTAGAGAGGTCAAGTAATTTTCCCAAGGTCATAGATCTAGTTAGTGACAAAGTGAGAAGAGAATCTGACATACAATCCGATATTCTTGCCAAGCACTATGGCAGATATAAGTCCATTATACAGATGAATGGGGGGAAAGTGATACATCCACGGTTACATAGTAACAGATCCAGAATTCAAATCCAGGTCTTCTGGCTCAAGGTTAATTCTCTTTCCACTGCACCACATCGCCTCTTTGTCATTATGTATGTGGGAGGGGGACATGATTTTACACAATAGAATAGCCAAACATGAGGAAAAGAGGAATGCTCTATTTCAGCTGGACCAAATGACGGCAGAAGAAGAGCTGGTCTGGCAGCCAGAGCTCCCTTCAGAGCACTTCTGCACATCTAAAGCACACTGATAACTGATGTTCATAATGAGGGCCCCAAGGCACAAGATCCCAAACTTCGTTCTAAATCATTAAAGGATGATTAATGTGTTCAGCTTAGCTTTACTGTTAACTACCTCACGTCTGTCAGAGGCATCAGAATTCTTCCAGCCTCCCAGGTTGTAAACCTTGGAGCCATCTTTGATTTCTTTCATCCTCTGTCTCATCCACGGTTTCATCCCTTCCTCTCTAGTCTCACCATCAACACTCTAAGCCGGCCTTTAGCATTTACCATACAGGGGAAAAGGCACCAGACTTAGAATCAGAAATTCAAATCTCATTTCTGCTATTTGCCATTGGGTGACTTTGGCCACATTGCTTAGCGGCTTTGTGCTTCTGTGTCTGCAAAATGAAAGAGCTGGACTATGATGATATCCAAGGTGTTTTTTAATTGCTAAATCATATGATTGTATAACCTTACAATTGGTAACAGCAACAGGCTTCTTTTTATAGTATTTTTTTTTCCAATTACATGTAAAGACAATTTTGACATTCATTTGTATAAACAATTTTGAGTTCAAATTTTTTTCCCTCCCTCCCTAAGATGGTAAGCAATTTGATGTAGGTTATATATGTGCAATCATGTAAAACATATTTCCATATTAGTCGTGTTGTAAAAGAACAGAACAAAAGGAAAGAAATACAAAAAAAGAAAGTGAAAATAGTATGCTTCAATCTGCATTCAGACTCCATCAGTTCTTTCTCTGGATGTGGATAGCATTTTCCATCATGAGTCCTTTGGAATTGTCTTAGATCACTGTATTTCTGGGAAAAGCTAAGTCATTCATAGTTAATCATTGTACAATGTTGCCGTAACTGTATACAATGTTCTCCTGGTTCTGCTCACTTCACTTTATATCAGTTTATGTATTCCAGGTTTTTCTGAAATCCACTTGGCATGATTTCTTATAGCAAAGTAGCATTCATTACAATCACATACCACAACTTACTCAGTCATTCCCTAATTGATGAACACCCCCTCAATTTCCAATTCTTTGCCACCACAAAAAGAGTTGCTATAAATATTTTTATATATGTAGGTCCTTTCCCCTTTTTTATAGCACCAGCCTTCTAACTATTGTCCTTTCCCCTTTCCAATCCATCTAGATTGTTTGAGAACTAATATTCCTTAAATACTTTTCATCATGTTATTCCCCAAGAACCTAGGATGGTTCCTTGTTACCTAGTAGTCCGGTAGACATTCAAGGCCTTTCATAGTCTTGCTCCATCCTACCTCTCCCATCATTTCTTAGTGTGTCCAGGTGACATTCTATTTCAGCCAGGTTTCCTCACTACTTCCCAAGTCAAGTCAACAAACACCTAATATGTGCCAGGCACCATACTAAACCCTGGGGATACAAATAAAAGTGTGTTTTCAAGGAACTCACATTCTAATGGGAGAGAAAAACATGCAAAAAACCACTATTTACAATCAAGATAGAGAGGGGATACATTGAGAATAATCTCAGAGGGAAGGCTCCAAGATTAAGGAAAGTTGGCAAAGGCTTCTTGCAGAAGGTGGGACCTTAGCTGAGACTTGAAGGAAACCTGGAGATGGAGATGAAGAGGGAGAGTGTTCCATCCATGGGGGACAAAGTGAAAATTCTCAGAGGTAGGAAATAGTTTCTTGTTTGAGAAACACCAAATAATCCAATGTCACTGGATCACAGAATATGTGGAGGAGAATAAGGTGTAAGAAAATTGGAAAGGTAGGAAGGGGCCGGGTTATGAAGGAATTTAAAAGCTAAACAGGATTTTATATTTGATACTGGAAGTAATAGGGAGCTATTGGAGTTTATTGAGTATCTAGGCATTACAGGATTAGAGTTGTGCTTTAGGATGATCAGTTTGACAGCTGAGTGAAGGATGTATTGAAGTGGAGAGAGACTTCAGGCAAGGAGACCAGCCAGGAGGCTATTGCAATGGTACAGGCATGAGATGTTGTAAAGGAGAAACCACAAGTTAACAGATTGAACATGAAGGGTGAGAGAGATTGAGGAGTTATGGATGACACCTGACACCCTGGTTATGAGCCTGAACGACTAGTTAGTGATCTCAACAGTAATGTGGAAGGTAGGAAAGGGGAGGGTACCTAGAGACTTCATTGTTGTTGGACCTGCTGAGTTTAAGATGGATAGAAAACATCTGTTTCAAGATATCCAATAACAGATAGTTGGAGATGTAAGCCCAGCAGTCTGCAAAGAGGTTAGAGATGGATAAATTCATCTGAGAATCATCTGCATAGAGATGATCATTGCATCCCTGGGAACTGATGAAGACACTAAATGAAATAATACAGTAGAGGGAAAAAGAGAAACAGGTCCGGTAATTCACCATGATTTGTCAAGTGGTAGAAATCGGTCCTTGCAGGTTCCTCCTTAGCCATGTGGATTTTTTGCTACCCTATTTGGCTGTTGGCCTGTATGTAAACCCAGCCTCCACCATATGCAGAAATAAGCAGGTGGGTCAGTAACTTTGGGTATTTCTGTTTCAAGCAGCAGTATGCCAGGAATATTTTCTCTCTCATTTTCACTGGAGTTGGCCCCACTGATAAATATAAAGGTGGAAAGAAAAGAGCCCTTTTTAAAAGAATACAAATGTAGTACAATTCATTGTTTCTTTCTCAGTTCATTAGGTGATACGGGAGAAAGAGCCAAAATTCATATGAAAAGTTCAGTTTTTGAACTAAAAAGTAAATCCATTCGATCTATTTGCAATTTTATACTCTATACCCTTAAACAAAATTTGCTTTTATGTATGTAGTTAAGGCAGAGAATCCTTACTGAAGGGGATACTTGATCTTTTGCTATAAAGGACCCGAGGGGATATAAAAGGACAACCTTGAAAATACAATGTGTAGAACAAATGCAGCACAGGAACCAGGATGCTCACAGGTCCTCCTCTCTTCTGTTTTCCCTTGGAACCTTACAAATGTAAAAGAGTTGAATTGCACTGAAGTCCTACCCTGAGGCTTCATCATGGTATGGTTGTGACTGTGGGTTCTCAAAGGCTACACCAATGATGTGTAAGGCACGGCAGGTCCTGCGAAGCTCGAAAGCTTTGTGTATTAGTCTATGTACCCTTCATCCAAGGGCCAACCCAGTTAAGTGCAAAGAGGCACCAGATGACTGGCCATTAGATAATGAATTAGTTTGGCCACTGACACTAATTAAACCATCCACTAAGGCACGGAGGGAGCTCTCGCAGGAGTGAAACCACAAGTCCTTACAAGAAGCTAGATGAATTAGTTTGGTCAAGCTAACATATCAACAAGATCTCACTAAGTACTCACTGTGTGCCCAGTACCGAGTTCTTGAGAGCTGAGAAGACCCTCTGTGATTTGGGTTTTAAGAGTCAGTGTTAGGGATAGCCAGGTGGTGCAGTGGATAGAGCACTAGCCTTGAAGTCAGGATGGACCTGAGTTCAAATACAGCCTCAGACCAAACATTTGACACTTATTAGCAGTGTGACCCTGGGCAAGTCACTTAACCCCAATTGCCTATAAAAAAATTTTTTTAAAAACCCAAAAATACAAGAGTCAGTGTTGCAAAGTGGATAAAAGTCCTGGGCTGGGATTTTATTAGTTTACATCTCACCTTTAACATATGCTAGCTGTGTGACCATGAGCACAACTCAGAGCCTCAATTTCCCCATCTGTAAATGAGGACAATAACACCTGTCATACACAAGGCCATTGTGATAGAAAGAAATGGCATGTGAAGCATTTTGATATGTCTATATATCTCATATATACACAGTTATTTTCATGTTGTCTTCCCTATTAGAATATGAATTCCTTGAGGGCAGAGACTATGTTTTTGCCTTCCTTTGTATCTCTGGCACTTAACATAGTGCCTGGCTCCTAGTAAGTTCTTAATAAATGTTTGATGACTGTCGTGTTATTATACATGTGCTCAGGGTGTTCTAAGTTACTGGGTGCTAAAAGTGGTAAAATGGGAGAAATATTGTCAGCTCTCAGTGATGTAGGGGTAGCAAGGAAGGGTGGTTTCCCTGAAATTAAATAAAGGTGGTTGATAGAAAGTATTTCATCAATACAAGGATCTCTTAGATAAAGAGGCTCCCTCTACCATCATAGGTTTGCACCTTCTCAGCAATTTATACTCTTAGAGAGTGACCTAGAGTCCATAGATGTTGAATACCTCACCTAGGGTCACATAAGCCCTGTATGCCAGAGGCAGGATTTGAACCCAGGCCTTCCTGGATCTGAAGCCAACTCTTTACCCACTATACCACACTGCTTCTCAAAGTTGATAGAATATATGTTGGTTGATAGAATTTATAAATTCATCATTGACGATAAAAATTTCCATTTAAACAGGTTGATGAGCTGTATACTTGTGTTAATACATAAATCAACGTATGTATGAATTTAGAACCCTCCAACACAACAGTAAAGCTACCATGCGGTCTAAACATAACCCATAGACCAACAGAACAGCTGCCGGCAGTCCAGAAATGTGCCCAAAGAGGTGTCATGACTGATGAGGAGCAACCAGCTAGAATAAATTCATTTCAGTTTGTATTTGTTTTCTCATGCTGAAATACGTCAGATATAACAATCTTTTCTTTTGTCTGTTGATTTGAAGCTGAAAAACATGCTGGAGTCTCCTGTGTCACAGCATCAATGGATGACATACAGTTTGAAGAGACAGCCAGGTAAGGGATAGGATGTGATGCTGCTAACCCTCTTTCCTGGTTCTCAGTGATTTATTCCAACAACATGCTTCCAGGTAGTGCCTCACCTTCATCATTTGAAGGCAGTAGTCAAATGATCAGCATAGTAAATGACACTGGGCCTCATGTAAATGGTTTTAAAAACTCAATACTCAGTGAAAAACTTAGTTCTTAATTGCAATATAAAGCCAAGTTCCTAATTACATTTCTCTGATGAAAAATGTCTCCAAGCATTCGTGAATACATTTTGGTTGTATATAACTGGCTGCTTCAGGATTGATTTCCTTTAATAAAAATAATTAATGATAATAAGCAAATCCTCTCTAATTGTATATTTCATTATAAACTTGTCGGGTAAACACCAAAGAATCAGAGTAGTGTCTAGGCTGGAATTTAACAAGGGGCAGACTGAAGCAATTCTCTCACCAAGATACCCTTTATTAACATGGGCATGCAACCTGGTAACAAAGGAATCTTACAGCTAGCCTCCTTTTGTGCCAAAGACCCTGAGCAAGGGCCAATGGTCTCATATACCTGTGTGTCTTTCTTCTGATTGGCCTGACAGTACATTTGGCCCTCTCCTGGCAAAGGCAAGGCACCCCCGATTGGTGGGCATTTTAATGAGGAGGTGGGTTAGTAGTTCTCAGCTCCTCCCTATTACTTCACATTAGGGAGCAGGGCTACTCATCCGGATCAATTTGAAGGGAGGAAAAGGGGGCTGGTTTTCAGCTGTGGCCAATCACATCCCTGTCTAACACCCAAGAATGCTACTTGCTCCATGAGAGAGAGCTCCCTCCGGCAATCTGGGTTAGAAAAACTTTAGCCATCTCAACCAGGTTTTTACTAGCTTCATCTCCCCCCAGCCCCTTTTTTAGAGCAGCTCACTGCAAACTTTGATTAGGAGGGGCGAGAACAAAAGAATCATCCTGCCCAGCTGGGTGGGTGCCTTAACTCAAGCTGGCTCCTGCTTAAGCCAGAAGCAAAAGCAAGGGCCCTTATCCAGGCAGATGAGGTGGGGACTGGGAGTAATGACGTTCCTTGGCCAATTCAGCCTGGAAGAAGTCTCTTTTGAGCTAGGCGAAAAGATTGGGGTTGGGGAGCAGGGGAAGGGTTTCCAGGAAAGGGTATATTACAGATTAATATTAAATACCAAATGATACAGCATAATATGAATTTTCCTCAGTAGAGATGGTAATTTTTTTCTATATAATTTCTAAGTGGGAAAGGGCCTCAGAGGTCAGCTTGTATTCCAGCATCTCATTTTACATACTGAAAAGCTGATGTCCAAAGAACTTAAGTGACCGGCCCCAAGTCAAACAGCTACTAAATGGTATTTGAACCCAGGAGCTCAAACTCTAAATGCAGTATTCATTCCACTGTCCTATACTGCCTTCTCTAAAACAATCAATAAATCAATCAACATTTATTAAGTGCTAGAGAAACAAATTCATTTAAGGTTTTATAATAGTTTTTTTAACCAAGGAGCCATAGCAAAAAAGATTGATGGTTGAGTCAAATCTATTGATTTGGGCAAGCTTCCAGCACAGTATGGAAATACATAAGACACGTATGTTCAACCCACTCTTTTGTCTCCTACCCTTCCACTAGCATTTGTTAGACTCCCAGAATCTCAGGAGTTGGAAAGAACCCCAGAAGTTACCTACATAGTCCAATCCAGTCCTCTATAGAAATTGATTTTACAACCCTACCTGATTTTAAGGCCTTTAGTGGTGGAGAATTAACTACTTCCCAAGACATCCCATTCCGTTTTTGAAAAGCTGCTACCAAGTCAAAACCTGTGGCCAATTTGGCTTGAGTCAGCTGTCTTTGCTTTACCATCCATCTCTCAAGCCCTTTTACTCTGATTAAAATGATACTTTCTGGGGTAGCTAGGTGGTACAGTGGAAGAGCACCAGCCCTGAAGTCAGGAGGACCTGAGTCCAAGTCTTGGCCTCAGACCAAACATTTACAAATCACTAGCTGTGTGACCCTGGGCAAGTCGCTTAACCCCAATTGCCAAAAAGAATAAAATGGTACTCTCTACTCTTCTTTCTAGTGGAACACAGAAACAGGGTTTTTTTAGATTAGAAGATTTAAAAAACTATTTTTAATATATTGTCAGTAACTATCTTACAGCATTCCGTTCACATACGTTTTAAATAGTGGTCAATAATAGCTTGATATCATCTTGATAGGAGGTCTCTACTGGAGTTTTCTGGAGATCTGGGCTATTTCACATTTTTTTTTCCAAAGACCTGGACATAGGCAAAGATGGTACGCTCATATAGTTCCTCTGTGTGCCTTCTAGGTAAATTCACAAATATTTTGTATACTCTGTAGTTTTTTGAATGAAATTTCTCTCTCATTTTATAGTGGAGGAAACAGGCAGACAGAGGTTAAGTGACTTGCCCAGAGATGACACAAAGCTGGGAGCTATAGCCAACAAGTTAGATGCCAGAGTCAAGATCCAAAAATATTTTGACATGCTAGAACGTTGAGCTTATTTGAATGAGATTAAATTTAATAGGGATACATTCAGAAACCTACCCTTGGGTTCAAGAGGCAAACTTCACAAGTCCAAGATGGGAAGGCATGGCTAGACAGCAATTGTCCTGACAAATATCTGACAACATTGTGGGTCAGGCCGCAAGTGGAACTTAGGAGGCCAGAGTGAAGCCCAACCCTCCCGGCCACTAACTGCTGTTGTTGCCAGTTTATGGTGGGAGTGAACCTGGACTTAGTTTGAGTTAATTTTTCCCTCAGGTGGCTTGATTGGCAAACCAGGTGTGGGCCTTATGGTCAAGGAGAATATATAAACAATTTTTTATCTGCAAGCTCCTAAGGCCCCAGGGAACCTCTTTGTTGACTGTTTCAGTTTCTTGCTTTTGGTTTTTACTTTCCTAAACTGATTTTTACCACCTTGTGAATTGCCTTTTACTTGGAACTGGGGGATGGGGATGAGGGGAGAGGATGTCCGAATGTGTTTTTATTAGAGGGATATTTTTACACAGTCTGAATAATCCATTGCACTAGATGTAGGACCATGATTGGAGTGGGCATTTTAGTGAATTATAAATTATATTATAAACAGAAGTCAACAGTGTGATTGACTAACAACAATATAACGTGATCTTGAATTGCATAAATAGATGTAGGGTCCAGTATTAGGGAGGCAGTAAGCCTATTGTACCCTGCCAGGTCAGGCCACACCTCAAATACTGAGTTCCATTTTACCTATCATATTTTAGAAAAGACAATGGTAAACTGAAGGTCATCTAGAGGAAGACAGCCAGGATGATGAACGATCTTTTAAGGATTGGTTGAAGGAACTGGGATTGTTTATTCAGGAGTAGAAGAGAACTGGGGCAGGGGACAATGGGTATATTCAAGCATATGAAGGCCTGGACCAATAGAAGAGATTAGATGTGTTCTGCTTGACCCCAAAGGGCAGAACTAAGAACCATAGGTGGAGGTTATCATGGTGCAAGATTTAGACTTGGTGTAAAAAAAGACTTCCTAACAATCAGAGCTACCTAGAAGTGGACTAGGCTCCCTCAGAAGGAAGAGCATCCTGTAAAGGTTGGATGATGACTTGGTAGATATATTGTAGAAGAAATCCTTGTTTAGGCAGCTAGATGGTATAGTGGATAGAGGGCTAGGCCTGGAGTCATGAAAACCTGAGTTCAAATCCAGCCTTAGACACTTGTTAGCTGTGTGACTTTGGGCAAGTCACTTAACCTCTGTCTGCCTGTTTCCTCCACTGTAAAATGAGAGAGAAATTTCATTCAAAAAAACTACAGCTCATACAAAATATTTGTGAATTTACCTAGAAGGCACACAGAGGAACTATATAAATACAAGTACAAAATGTTCTTTACAGAAATAAAAGTAGACCCAAATAGTTGAAGAGATATTAATTGATCATGGTTGTGTTATCCCAATGTAGTACAAAGGATTGGACCTGTGATTTCATTGGTATAGGGAATTCTCAGATAAGGAAACTTCCTCTGCCAGTGTAGGTCAACACCTTTTGTTGTAATTCATAATCTTAGGGAGTTACCTGGAGGCATTGAAAGGTCAAGTAACTTACTACAAGTCAAACAGCCAGAAGTAACACTTAAACCCAGGTATTCCTGCATCCAAGGCCAGTTCTTTATCCACAATGACGTGTTGCCTCAATCAAAATGACAATACTACCTAAATTAGTTTACTTATTCAGTGCCATACCAATCAGAGTTATTTTATGGAGCTAGGAAAATAAAATATGAAAATTCATTTGTAGCAAGAACTCGTCAAGAATCTCAAGGGAAATAATCGAAAGAGCAGGAAAGAAGGGGACCTAGTAGTACCATCAGTGTTATAAAACAATAATCATCAAAACTATTTGTTTAAAAATAAAAAGTTGAACAAAATTAAGTATATAATATGCAGAAGATGAACATAGCACCATATATCTTGGATAAACAGACTTCCTGAGAAACTGATTCATTGAGGACCTCTACTTTATTCCAATCAGTGTGAATCCATTTGATATGATGGGGTAGTGATTATAAGTTCTGTATATTAGGCTTCAGAACTGTAAGCTACAGATTGTTAAGTTTACTTGCTAAAGGCTCTCCACCCTGGTTTTTCCTTGTCATGGTGACCAAGCGCAGTGTAACAGAGGTGACTCAACCATATGGAAAGTCCTCAGATTTATTTTTGTACCTCCGCACCATTCTCTCTGGTCCAACACGAGCAGGTAACCATCTTATAGTCATAGATCCACCTAGCAGTAGAAATATTCTTTACTTCACCCACCTAAGTTGTGACCCCACTGACGGTTCATTTTTGTTTATCTTAGCCTATGCATCGTATGTCAACCAATGGAATTATTCTGTATTTGGTACAGTTGTTCTTGAATGTCTAGATAGCTAACTCTATAAAAATAGGGCCCTGGAAGGAGGACACATCTCAGCTCATGAGGAAGATCTGAGGTCCAC